CGAACAAAATGGAAAATACATTACAGATTAAACTTCATCCAAGTAAAAAAAAATTTTTTATTTCATTGAACAAATCGGCAATTACTTAGTTGCCAACCCAATACATATATAGTATGATATTAGTAATAAAAGTTTTACAGATTTTTAGAAAATTCTCCATTGAAGTAAAATTTAATTTATCTGTTAGGAATGTACAGGGTGCACTTAAACATTGCCATCTAATTATGTCCTCCAATAGTGATGATACAACAAATTTTCTTTTATGGAATTCGATTGGCATCAAGAGACGAATACGTTTCAAAAAGTATCTTTTTCTAGATCATCTTGCTGGATTTTTTTTAAGGTCGTCGATGTTCATCTGCATATAAGTGCAAATATATTTTTATCGCATTGTGTAGTATTGCATGTTGCTGCTTTGAATCTGAATCTTGGGATACTAATAGACTATAGTTCCACGTTTCGTTCTCATGTTTGAAAAATGTATAAAAATATGAAAAATATGAAGTCAAAGGAATCATTTGAAAGGAATATATTTTAATGTCAGCTACACGATGCAATAAAAATATGTGCACTTGTATGCAAATCGTCGTCGATAAACGCTGTATTGTATTTTATTTTAGATAGAGTACAAAATGATAAAATAATGGAAAATTAAATTGTTACTACAAGATGAAATAAAATTAATTACAATGCCAGATTTATAACCTCAGTATACCGGTTGAGGGTTTATAAATATAAAAGTATTAATATAAATATTATTGATATAATTATTAATATAAATTAATATATTAATATAAATATTAGTACAAATATTAATGTAATTAATATCAATATAAAAGTACGAGAGACAAGATTCATCATAGCAATTGCTTTCGACTTTCTTCGTAGGTTGCAATAAAAATGAATTTTCAAGCTCGATAAAAACAATCGTGTCGCGTGCACACGACTGACGTGATACTTGCATTGTTAAATCCGTGCATTTGCATTGACATCCGCGCATTTAAAAAACGAAATGTGTCCATTAATTTGTACGCTGCAGATGCTTATGTAGAACAAAATACTTAATCAAGCACGTGCTGCTGCTTTAATTGCTGTTCGCAACTTGATAAAAAAAAGTTCAATTAACCTCATTCCGCGAATGCCAGAAGTGGCGCAGATTGAAATTTCCATTATGTCTGTGCAATTGCGCGATGATTGATTCGATGATACGGAACTTGTCGAGTAAGTTAATTATCATCTCAGCAATCCGTCGATGCTGCGAACGCTGGGATGAAAATCTATGAAAATTATTTATTCGAACAATTCGAAAATGTATTATGAGGGAAATAAGTCGATGAACTATGAAATAACATTTTATATTTTATCATTTGTACCGAAATCAATTATTTTCCGTATGAATTCCTGTGCGAATAAATTCCTATTACAAAAAAGAAATAATTCAAATGAATTCTTATTCGAATGAAATTTGGTTCGGATAAATTTTTATGCAGACAAATTTGCACTCGATCGAATATTTGTTCGTCAGTGTCGAATACAAATTTGTGTTCGTTTTAGTTTTTATCTTTCAATCTTCACGAAAATAAATTGTGTGACGAATTCGAGGGGACAATGAAGCACGGTGAATTGAATCTCGAATGAGCTAGAAACGTGCGACGCACCGTGCCCAGATCGTTATCAAAGCAACGCCATTTTGGAAAGTTACGGTTCGCGTCGTTCTCGAAGAAGTAACATTTTTCTCAATAAAATACATTGATGCCGCACCTGTCATGCATCTTCTGGCGACGATTACGAGTAGAAAGTCCAAACCCGGAGATCGGTTTGAAATGAAATTGTTCGCAAAGTTTATGTTTATATGGGGAAGAGCGTACACACGGGGATCGTTTATCCGTAATAAACGCTCTGCCTTAAATCTTATACTGTCTCGAATTGAATGTCCCATTTTACATTGTAATATCTCATCTATATTAAAGTTATCACGATACGTGCATATTAAGCTCCGACTGATTTTATCGGACCATCACACCAAAAGCGTTATACCCTACCTTAACCGCCATCACGCTCCGTTACGGCGTACTTCAAATAATTAATCGTCCATTCCGTGAAGTCAAAAATGCCCCTTGCAGCATAATCAACAGGAAGCTGTCGCTCTTTCGTTCAAATTTTATACATTTTTGGGTTATCCGCCGCTCAAATTATCCTGACACAGTTCTCGAGAAGAAGGATCCGACAGAAATTTCTTACTCCCAATAAAGACTTCATTCGCGAAATATAGTCATTTCTCCCTAATTCGCGCTGAGATTGCGCACAAAAATGGACGATTTGGGAAGAGTAGATACGATTATTGAAGCCTTGGGGCACGTTTTTTAGTTACCGATTGTCAATAACTATAAAAACGAGACGCAAGGCTCGAATAATCGTATCTTCTCTTCCCAAACTGTCCATTTTTGTGCGCAATCTGAGTGCGAATTAGGGAGAAATTACCGTAACTTTTATTACCGTATTTATATATTTTATTTATATATATTTATTTATATTTATATTTATATTTATATTTATATTTATATTTATATTTATATTTATATTTATATTTATATTTATATT